TTGACCGAAGTAATGCTAAAATTTATCAAAAAAATATAGGATTGTACATGTTTTTTTTTTTTTTTTTTTCTTGTTGAGAATTTTGATATAAAAACGAAAAGTGATAGTGTTAATTTGACAATAATTTGAATTCTGCTGATTTCAATACGTTGAGAACCACATTTTAGTTCATTTTCTGATATGAAAATGTCGATTCCGTGAAAACTTAAAAATCTGTAGATCTATATGAAAAACGCAATGCTAATGAAATTGCAAAACTTATACGTTCATATGAAATTGATATGTTTGAAAATGTGTCAGATTACATTCGAATTAACAGTATTTTTTTTCGTTTCTTACTATGTTCTAAAAAAAACAAAAAAACTTTAATGTTATATTATTGATTATATCAGCACTATTATGGCTAAACTGGCATTTCAAGTGTGAGTATCAATAGTCTCCATTATTTGACACTCCATTAAAATAATAAAACTAATAATTCAAGTGCTTGCAGTATTAAGATTCGATAAAGCAGCTACTTGAACATTCAAAGATCCTTTATCAAATTAAGGCACTTTTTCTACAACTCTTACTTTTTTCAATTCAGTTACACTTTATATCCGAATAAATACTGAAACTAGGTTACATATGTCAAACCACAAAAGGATTTCCAAAACCACTCCATCAAGTCTAGCATATACGTAAATTCCGGTATGTAACGCGTTGCTGCTACGATTACATCAACTGACTCTTCCGTTAGGGCGGTCAGCTATATAAAACGAGATTCCTTGGAGTCGATGAGAGAGCGGCGTGAAAGCTGCGGTAGCCTACTGCTACAGAGGCACACACACGCGTACGCGAAAGAGAGAGGGACAGAGAGAGAATAGACAAAATTAAATGAGACAGTTTTGGTTCTGGAAGACGGTAAAGCGAAAATAGTTGAGATTTTCTTTGAAGTGCAGGTTGTATTTCACGGGTCTCTCACTTTGTCCCTCGCGCGAAAATTCAAATAAAATAAATTTTTAATGGATTTGAAAAAGTACGAGTATTTTTCTTCGAGCATCGATCTTCGCCAATTGCAGCTGTAAAAAATAATAAGAGAGTTGGAAAAAGAAGGATTTTTATCGGCCACGGCTTGTCGCAAAAACGAAAAAAAGAAGAAAAAAAAATACGAAGTAAAAGTAACTTCAAACGTAGACGAGAAAGACACGACATACGTTTTTTACACTGTCAGGTATATACACACCGAGCAACTTTCACAGAGAGCACAAATCAGTCTAGCGTTCAAATCCACGGCAATCTCGCGCGGCGGCAGTCGGTATAACAATCAAACGAGGCAGCAAGCGGCGAAGAAGAAGAGGAAGAAGTAGATCGATGAAGACGATCGGTATATATCCCTTGGCACGCTCGCAATGTAACCCAACCGCTCTCTTTCAAAGCTACCTCTCTTCTCCCCGCGTTTTTTGTTTAACTTTTTTTTTCTTTCTTTCGTTTTGCTTCGTTTACCATCAACGATAATCGCTGCTCGCACACACCACCTGCGGAACTCTTCTTTTCCTCGCTGCCCGACAGATCTCTCATTACTCTCTAATTGTCTCTCTCGTCGTAAAATCCTCAGAAGAGAAGCGACAGCCCAAAATTTGCGACAGTCATCATTCAACGCTCCGAGGGCGCGCACGAAACTCTCGCTTTTTCAATCGCGCCAGCAAAAACAGATGGAAAAAGGGATATTAAAAACGCGCTCCTGGCACATATTCACCGTTGTAGCCAGCCACTGGATTTACGAGCTACGTTGTTAAATGAGATACGCGTGTGGGCCACAAGCGCGCGAGCATCAATCAATGACTTTTTTTTTTCTTTTTTTGCCGACAGCTGAGGGTCAAAAAGATTATTATATTGGCCTTTGACATTTGCCCGCAGACACGGAAAAATGAGATTTTATGGTGATGGAACCGCGTTCCTCTCCTGACACAGAGAGAGAGAGAGAGAGAGAGAGAGAGAGAGAGAGAGAGAGAGAGAGAGAGAAAGAGAAAACAGTGCTGGTGTATTTTGGACTTTTAGGCTTTTTGCCCTGCTGAAATGTTTATGCGTCGTCCCGAGTGTTTTCGAGACGTAAATTTTTGGATGAACTTGCCTTTGACATATTTTTTTGACGTAGAGGAGCTTTTGTATAGGATATATTCCGACGAATGGAGCAATCTTTGCCTTTTATCGTACAATATATTTCTTTGTCAATGGATATAGTATAGTTGTCAAATGATGTCACTTTTGAAGAAACTATTTTAAAATACAAAACTGGCGATTCAACCATACTTAAGACGTACGCAGGAGTTATTTTTTAAGAATTTCAATGTGGAAAGGATATAATAATCAAGTTTTTCATTTTAAAAAAAGGATAATCTTGTAATTTAATAATTGTAATTGTAAATATAAGGATTACAGATGGAAATATTAAATTATTCAAGGTAGAATAATTTGGAAATCGAAACTGAACTCACATTGTTTAGTGACTTATTTTTCATCATAATTTATATTCAGTATCAACTAAGCTCGTTAAGTAAATTTTTAGTAAAACCAGGAATTCCAGTGATATTATTTCACTTTACCAATGAATCAGCATTAAAAAACTATGGTTGCAGCGAATCGCATTGCTCAATCATAATTATAATATCAAAAGAATTTTAGTCGAAAGCAATAATAAGTACAGCACGCGGAGCTGAACATAAATGAATGTTTTGCAAATCAGAAACGAATATGCTGACGTCCACTCCGTAATCCCCATCCCACGCAAAAAGTAAAAAAAAAAAGAAGCGAACACATCTCGTGGCTGTGGCTGTGGCGTGCTATGCGCATCCCACAAATAAACCAAATATCTACGATAGCGAGTGTTAAAAGCAATTTCAAATGTCTCGGATTACACCCATTACTCGCATACTCGTTGCTAATACTCGAGGTAGAAAACGACTGGCAACTCATCGGCATTCCAAAACACCGAGAAATCGCGCGCACACCTCAATATTCATCGGCGCGTCGATTAAAGCGCTTTCCCGTCGAGCCTGGCTTGATAGATCGATCGGCTCTTTTTGTTTCTTTTTTCTTTCTTTCTTTCTTTCTTCTCCTCGACAAATGGAAATGATGCACGCGCCCGCGCGCACGGAGCTTGTTTCGCGTGGCGATGAATTAATGGGGGCCTCCTTGTTTGCTTTCATCGCGTGTTTGCCGATTCCAGCGGAGAATTATCATTCCACCCTCGCTCCTCTCTGACGTAAGCGCGATTGAGTAATTTGGCGAGGAGCGAGCGAACGATCGAGTCCCTGTTTCCTTTGGTCCCGCCGAAAGTATATGAGACGAGCTTTAGGCGCGTTACGTTCCTTTCAAAGGAGCACGTTCACGCGTGCGGCAAGGTCTGGCTTTTCGAAGGAAAAAGGCTACGCGGCTTTTGTGCTGGAACGGAAACCAAAGCGAAATATTTCGCGATTTATGAAGCGTGAAAAATAAGGCGGACGGGAAAAAAGGAGGGGCGGCGAGGAAGCGGGAGGGGCAGCTCTTGGCACATATTCGCCGTTGCAGCCAGCCACCGGATTTACGAGCTGCGTCGTTAAATAAGATACGCGTGTGGGCCACAAATCCGCGCGAGCATCAATCAATGACTTTTGGCTTTTCTGTCAAAGTGGCCGCGCGAGACCGCGGGATTCCTTTGTAGCGTCTGGCTGACACTGTTTTGCCTCTAATTGGATTGGTTCGCTGAAGAGAACGAATTTAAATGGTTCGCATCAGTTTTATGCAAGAGATACCTTCTTCTTTCAACTCTCGGCTTTTCGCATGCACGGAGATATCGTAAGACGTAATGGATGGCTTGGATTTTTTTTAAATCCATACAACATTTCATGTAAATACAACATTTAGAAAAATATTTTGTCTGTAAAATTTATTCAAGAAATTATCAACGAAATTGATAACGATAAAATAAACAAGATCTACATTCAATCGTTTATAAATCGATTGATCCAATTTCATAATTTTAAGGTTTTTTTTTCTGATCAATAAAAAACGGCAATCATAATTTTCGATTCGTAATTATTTTTCGCAAAATCAAATTATTTGAATGCATGCTGATTGAAAGAAAGAAAAATTAAGGTACCTCAAACGTTAACCTTCTAAAACTTCATTTCCAGTCGTTAGCATCATCAGCGTGACACTGCACACTTCTCAAGGATAACAAAAATAAGAAGCGGCATTTGATTAGCCTTCACATTGAAAATTCACTTACACTCTCGTAGCTCGTCCGTTAAAAAATAAGCCTTTTAACGGTGAATCGCAAGACGAGAAAGAATTCCTCGACGACAGACAACAACGAGTGAGTGAGCGAGTGGAAAAGGGAGGGAGAGAGAGAGAGAGAGAGAGGGAGAGACAACAAGCAATGAGATAGAATTCGGTGACAATCGGTGGCTCGCGTCACACACTCGACGTGCGATGCTAACGGTATATCCTTATCTGTCGCAGCAGCAATAGCAGCAGCGAATAACAAGCCTCGATCGTTTATCACTTCGATCGTCGTCGTCATCGCCTCTCCCGCTCGTCCGTGCACTGTCATCCTTTGCGCGCCCGAAAAATCTCCGTGGCGGTGGAGAGGGGCGGAGGGGGGGGGGGAGGCAACTCCTTGTATTTCGTGACTGACGACGTGCTAAGCCCTTTAATTGTAACTGTAACCCTTTCTCGCTTCATCTTTTTTTCAACGAGTCATCGAGACGAGCGAGCGTGAGCTTCGTGATTTATGGTGCCACTGCGGACGCTATTGATTGAAATTAGATCGGTACCGTATCGTACGGGCTTCGTTCAATTATTATTTGCCCTCCGTCCTGCCTGATTATACTTTTTAAAGCCCAAGGCCAGAAAGATTTATGGGTATTCCGTGAATTTCAGACTTTTCAATCCTTCTTTTGTCCGACTGTAAGCGACTACAATTAGGCGCTCTGGAATGCCAATTCGCAGATGCAATTAGAATCGCTTTATGTAAATATCTTTTATTAGTTTGCCACAAGAAAAATGAATGAATAATATTAATTTATATTTAATGGTCAACTTGCGGAATGTGTAAGATGACTTCTGCTGTTGGTTTTTTATTTCTTACCTGTAATATAAAGAAAAACACATATTTAGAGAAGTATACATGTCACTAGAAAGGTAAGATTTTCTACCCTGCATTTCTTGCATCCAATCTTTAACTCTAACGGACGAGTCAATTTCGATTTTCAATGAAATCGAGTTACTAACGATAACCATTCGAGCAAAGCAATTTTACCATCGAAAACTTATTTGAATACATCGGTAAACTGTGATTTCTTAAAAAAGGCCTGGATTTAAAGTACATAATATCAAGCAATCAAGCGTAAAAAATGAAACTTGTTCGTTGCAGTCAATCTGATTCTGAATTACTCGAAATATCGCGGGTACCTCAATTGACTCGTAGCGCATTCAGAGATCAAAAGTTGCGCATTCAATCCCAAACGCCTGGTATGATCGGTTGGTTGCATTCACTTTTTGAATACAAAAGATTTAAAGTGTACGAGGTTCCGTTGGATAATTTTGCAACTTTGCATGTTACTGGAGAGTGAAATACTTGAAAGCGATCGACGCGAAAAGAATGAACGCGTGGTAAACGCATAAACGAATAATTTCGGTTCTAGGGAAGAATATTCCACGGGTGACAAGGGGGTCACAGCGCAGCTCGCTGACTCGCGCGAGAAGATCATCAATGGGTCAGTATACTAGTAGCTCGTCCATACGGTGTATAAGCGACTGCAGCACACGGCCAGCGAGAGAGGAATGGAATGTCGTCGCTGGCGCGCACCGAGCCGCACCACGTCGGCTAAGCCCTTTTTACCTTCGGAGCCCGGCGATAAGCGAGTGGACCGGCACGCAGATATAGTCTGGCGAGGAGAGGACGATGCCGTAACGAGCGAGCGTCCTTTCGTTGCGCAAGGGGCGCACCGTTCGGTCCGCTGGCTCGGACTTGGAGCGTCGACGCTGATCGCTCGCTACCGCCGACGGATTGCCGTGAGACACACGCGGCGCCCATACACGCTCCATGCGCATACGAGTATCGGCGATATCGGAACTGCGTCGTTATCCCATTGTTTCTCCGGCTTTCGACCTCTCCGGACTGACTTTCGCCGCGGCGGCTTCGATTGGCTTGACCACTCTGAAAATTCGGCCCGTAAGCTACGCGACGTTCCGGCGCTCCTCCCTTTTCTTATTTTTTCTTTTTAGCCGGCAATTACGTGCCACGGCGACGTTCAATGCGGCTGCTTTTCTCACCCTTCGTTACCTCTCATTCTCTTTCGTTAAAACAGATGAAATCGACGGGTAAAGAGGGTATTACACCTAGAGGCATTTACGAGGGGCTCGCGAGTGAAAGATCTCGAAAAGGCATAGGAGGCGATTAAAGCTGCGCAAGAGAGAAGAGAGAGAGAGAGAGAGACCTTGAGAACGGTCAGCCACTGCACAGAGCTCAAAGAAGGGGAGGTATATAGATAAGACACACGAGAGAGAGAGAGAAACGCTTTTAAACAGAGGATATTACATGCGTTTTCGGTTGCTCGAATATCCAATTATATGTACACACCTATTCTCGTGCAACTTATTGCGACATATTTTCGAATGCACGCGAGCTTTAATGATCACGTTCGCATGAGCATCGAGCCGCGACAATGATATTTAATGTTGCACTTCGCTCGGATTTTATCGCCGGTTTTGTTGCCGCATCGAAAAGGAAGAGGAGAGATGAAGATAATAGTTTTACGAGTGTTGCGCGCGACGCACGCGGGAAAGAACGAAAAACAGAACCAAAAGTGAGAGAGAGAGAGAAGAATCACATTCGGTAGCCGCTAAGAGAAAGAGGGTAACGATATTTCAAGCAGCAGTAAAAGCCGATATTGCAATTGAAGAAAATCGTTCGGTCTCTCGCCTGGAACTACTCGCTTTTACGACCGCGAGAATTCGACGCGACGGCACTTCGCGAAAATATTAATCGCGCGCGCAGGTCGGTGGGTAAGGAAAGAAAGGGGAAAAAGTAGATAAGCGCGTAAAAGTTGCGCGAACGAGCCAGAACCGCGGACGTCACTTGCCGCGTAGAGCGAAAACTCATGGAAAACAACGTCGCGCCGGTGCACCTTGCGAGAGTTGCCCATTGAGAACGAGATGAAAGAAATGCAAAGTGTATTTTCGCGCTGGCGACCGAGTAGAGGTGAAGGTCCAAGACACCTTGGCTGTCAATGAGCTAAGCTTCTTGGTGAGGGTTCGTTGAACTCGCTCCTCAGTGGCCGCGAGAGAGAAAGAGAGAGCGCGAGGGGAAGAATCCCTGCCCGGAAATGTTTTTCTGATCGGCAGATAAGCACTGACCGCCGCTAAGCGGGGGATCGCTATGCGAGTCGATTAATTGTTAAGAAAAATTGCTTCGCAAGCGAGAGAGAGAAAGAGAGAACTGCTTTCTTCTTCTTCTTCTTCTTCTTCTTCTTCTTCTTCTTCTTCGAGCCTCTTTGTAATGAGATTATGTCATATTGTTTGACGTTGCTTGTGAGTGCTTCTTTTTTTTCTCATCTTTGCAAAGTGCGTCTTTTGATTAATACGTTAAAGAGTTTTTCGAAAGTGTGATCGATGTTTCCTTTTCTTTTATTTTCTTTTTTGCAAGGGGGGATGATACTTGTGATTGGTTTTTGAATTTGTAATGCGAAAGTGACTCGTGTATATGTACTTGTTACGATCGGTGTTCAAAGATGTGTTTTCAACATGGAGGTTTACGTGCTTATCTACGGCGAATATCTATTATATAGGATTACTTACGATTAGATAAAAAATTACAGAGGTTCGTTTTTCTTTTCACATATCGATCAGGAGGTTCGGTTTCTTGTCGCGTAAGCTGACGACCCACATTGATAAAGTGAAAAGTTATGTCGCTGTTTTCGCTCGATTTATGAAATAAATTTGCACATTCACACGATTATTTATTTTACAATAATAGTTTTCAGATAAGCCATAAAGTTAGATAGTTATTTATGACTAATTGCCTCATACATCTAGGCGCGCTCCGGCATATTTCTTTTTATTTTTCAATTTCAAACTGATCGAGCGTATTAACAAAAGTGAAACGATTTGTCATAAAAATAGCTCTCGCGTTCTAGAACAAAACAAAAATACTCCAAATGTATAACTAGCTCATTATCGCGCTCAATGCGTCCTGCACGTGTAAAATTAATTAAAGTACGTAATTGAAATAATCAATACATAATTTTTGTCCAGCTCGCGCAAACTTACCACCGATCTCGAACACGCCAATCAACGATTTCTCACGCGTATGAGCTTCGGGAAAATTATTCCACGCCATGTGCGAGCGTGCAGACGGCCAGTTTCTTTTTATTTACTTGCCGACAGCTCAATTTATATAGACGTAAAGCTGCGCGCGCGCATTAATAATCGTGAAAGTTTTTTGTCACGCGCTCGTAGATTATCAATTTTACTTTGAATATACGGGAGAAACAAAGACTTCGGCTATTGCTTTGCTTTTATTTTGACGGTAAATTTGTCGATCGCCTAATTGCGAGATTCGTTACGCGATGTATCGCTAGATTTTTGCGATTCTCTTATTTTAAGGGCATTCGCGTTCTTCGGAAAGTTTGATTAGGTAGAAATTCCCAGAAGTAAAGTCGAAGGTGCAGACGTGAGAAAAACTATGTTCGCCTTGATTTCAGTTAGAGGAAGATTCTATTTCTTATTTTATTATCAGCGACGTCATATCTAATGTCATCGGATAAAAAACTGATAAGGATGAAAAGAAAAGCAAATTAAAACTGTGGTACTCAGTGCGCTGATTGATAGCGAAGTTTGGCGCAAAATGGAAAGTCGTATGTATGTATTTGAAATGTTTATGATTTAAGAAATAAGAGTGGTAATCTATCGTGACATTAGTCGTACGGTTAATTTTACATGATAAACGCATACATGGCTTTCTGATGAGTCAGAATCAGTAGACAAGTTGAACGATGTCGCAATTAAATGATAATGATTATTAAATGTTTACGAGTTTATTGGAGTATCGTAAATCATCGACAGTATTGCAGTTTTGATGAGAACCGCGGCAATCAAATCATAGTAAAATGATAGAAAAAACTAATTGTTTATGATTTACGTGAAATATTGTACACTGTAAACTTGAAATTTCTCAAAACGAGCTTTCTACAGCTTCTTGGTTATCGACCAACATAAGATTCAAAAATTCATTAAATAATATAAACTGACATTGGAATTTCGACATTAAAAGTATTATTATGGCTATTTTTACTGATGAACTCAATTATGCCAGTTTTATATTCAATTCAACTGGTAAAATATGATGTCTTTTATAAAGTTACGACTTAGCGCTCATTTTCATTCTTGATATTTTCATTAAGTTCAATAACATTACTATTTCAAAATGAGAATTGTCTGTTTTCATGCTTTCAGCAATATTGAAGGCACTTTCACATATACATAAATGAAAAATATGTTCAAGTATCTGGGAATGGTTTCATCACAACTTTTACTAGATTCCTGAATTCGGCTATTAATTCAGTGTTGGATATTTGGTGTGTTATATTCTGTTCATTCATTTGTTCAAACGAACAATTACCTAATATGTCGATCTGAGAAGCACAAGATTCAGTATAATCCTTATCTTATATTTTCTTACATATGTAAGTTTTCTTATAAAGAAAGAACATCACACAAAAGGTGTCGAAATTTGCGTTTTTTTTGTAATGTCGAATCTCATTGATCGTAAAACAATTGTATTGGACTTAGACCTAAGACATATATTTCTCCTTCAGTTCTCGTTTTTAAATAAATTGATATATGGAATTTTAAGGGAGAACGCAGAAATAAATCAAATGACTTAGAATTTTCCAATTTCCAATATACTTTTTGAAGTAAGATTTTTCCAAAGTACAAGTTATAAAAATCCAAAACATTCGGTAACAATTTTATAACTATATTCTGAACTATATGATGAATATATTCGCCATCAAGAGTATCAATATTTCGTTAGCATATTCCTTGATATAACGAGCGATTACATAACATATTCATTCAGAAAACTTTTAATTCCATTCTTTGCACTCGCTCATGCGTTTAACTGAAAATATCTACCCCTGTTATACAACAGACGCGGATTTATATTTACTAGCTACTTTCTACGAGAATTGATCTTGATTTTGATTCGCCGAATATATCAAAAGCATGATCAGTATTTAATTATGTATTGATGAAGGTTACGAAGAATGGCAGGCGTTAGCTTTCATATTAACAAAAAATACGCTTTTATTTAGTTATCTCATCATGTAGCAAAAATAACTAAATGACAAAAAAAATTCCCATCCTATCTAACAATTAGGTCTACTGTAAACTTTAATAATAAAATGAATGCCATGGTCGCAATGCCTTGGTGAACTCGAGAGTGATAGTTTTGTAACTAATACCTCCGGCAATTCGTATGACACTGGTACCATTCTTCTTGATATTTTAATCCTGTGTCGTAACCCTCACGAAGGGTATCACAGTATTATTAATTCTCCGAATGGTCACGATCCTTAAGAGTCTGGATTTCTCCACGACTTGCCATAGTCTCGTCAAGCCCACATGTTATCTAGAAGACAGTCACCTTAATTCTTGTAAGATGGATGTTCGTTGTAAATCTATGACACCAATGCGACCACTGCCGGTGCCTAAGCCACGAGCAATAATTTCTTCGTCGACAACGCCATTTGCTTTCTTCGTTCGTCACGCATCAGAGTTTACGGCCTGAATTTTATATTGCAATGCTTGCTTGATTCGTGGACTGTTATTAGTTCATCTTATCTTTTCTTTTGCCTCGAGAAGTAATGAGGTTCGATAATGCTCTTTCCTTCTCGCGATTTTGTTGTAGGAAATGTTCTATTATTGCGAATTTAATCAAAGGTGTCAAGTAAATACAACTTTCATAAGAAATTTAGTAAGTAACGTGCGTGACGTTTATGAATGTCCAATATACTAAAAATACAATTAGGCGCTTGAAAAAGAAAACTGTTTTCGTACATGATTAACGAAGACAAATTATGACGTGCTTTCGTAAAAAATATCAGCAGTCTACACGAGCCACTCAAACAACGCGGGTCACTCAACGACGGCGATCCGTTAATTGCGCCACTGAAACAGCAAAAAGAAATCGATAATCGATATGGCCAAAATTATGAGCGATCGACTGTTACGAGTATCGACACCGCCAACAAGTTGTACTCGATTGTTCAACAGGTCGTTAAAATACTGCGAATGGTAATCAATCAAGCGAGGCGCTAACGCACAGCAGCAGCGGCAGCCGTCGAACAAACAAAGCTCTGACACACGCGCGGGATATATTCAATGCGTACGCGAGAGCCGTGATGCGAAAATAATTCATTGCTCAATCAGGGTTATTGATTGTTTCTTCCTCTGCTAATAGGTTGATCGAGCGTATAATTGGCCAGGGTGTTTATAAGACCCTTCAGCTAGATCGAGTATGTCTGCGAGTGGTTAGATGCACACGTCCATGCGAGATTAGAACCATTAAGCGAAGAGTCGGTGTGTGTACAAACGTGAAATATTCGACGGGGATGAGTTTTTTTTATTTCATGTTTCTTTTCCACTCCGTAACGATGCATCGTCCTGTGTGTGACCTTTTGATTGCCTGCGGAAGGATCGCTGGGATTAATAATGCCGGTTCGTTAGTGAAAAAATTTTTGATTTATTGGCCTCGTTATTGTTCTAAATAAAAGACGCATGAATTTGAATTTATCATTCAGTTTTTTTTTTACTGTTCTTGACCGGAAAGTCTTGAAATGACAATTGCAGAAATGTTTTACTTATCAAATAACGCCATCATGGAAAAGAAAATATAAACCTAATTTACAATCGAGAAAGTGCTCCGCCTATTCTGTTCGTAATTGTAGGTTCACCGATGTTTATGTATTGAGCGAATATCTAATTAGAAATGAAACATCTTTGGTTTACAATGATATGTAATTGCCGAAAAGCAGTTACAATTGCAATGTTCACATACATGCACATAAATCACCCTTTCAACTCGCTCGCGCTTGCTTTCAGCCTGTTTAACAAAAAAAAATATGCGTCTCTATTATTATCGCACGTCTCGCAATAATAGCTTTTGCAAATTGCCAATCCGCCAGACCATCAATGCCTTCCTCTCAACATAACAAACTTTCCATAACATATCGTTTCACGTGATTTTTTTCCTCCTGATGGAATTCGCTCTACAAAGTATCTCGTTACATCAGGACTTTCATCGGAGCACCGACACCTTGACTAATCATTTATTTCTCCAGCGGAAACTGAAAAGCGACCCACGCATTTTCTTGCGCGCAAGGATATTAGATATAGCATAGGTACACACTGGCGTTTGTCGTGCGTTTGGATGTTTCACTTCTCCACGATTGAGTTTTCGAGGCCGGGTTATTAAGGATTAAACGTATAATTGAGCGGAAGGGAGATTCTTTCCGAGGTTATTTTACATTTATGCTCGTTACGTAACAGAGCACAGTCGTTTATTCGACAATAAAGTTCCCGACGAGCATTTTTTGTGCAAGAAAGACGAAAGAAAAAAGTGAGTTTCGGAATTATTTGGAATATTTCACATGGTTACTTTGTGAATTTCATTTTCATAAGATTATTTAAGCTACTAATATTGCGAATTAGAGTTCTATGGACAAATTGCCGTTCAGAAGTTTTTAAAATAAAGTGATCGACTTCAGAATTTCGAAAAGTGAAACTTCCCACTAGCAAATTCGAAGTAGGGCTAAACTTCGCGGAAAGCTCTCTCGGCTGTAGCAGCAGCAGCTTCCTGAAATGCAGGATCTCTAAATCTCGTCGAACCTCTGCCTGCCTGAATGAAAAAAAATGAGGAAGAAACGATCGTAGAATGCGAAGCATCCGGCGTCTCCTCTCGAAGTCGACCATCGCCGGCAATATCTTTCTCTCTACGAGTTGGCTTTTGCACAATGCTCTCTCTCTCTCTCTCTCTTGCTTGCGCCTACGATTTTATCACGCCTCAATATTTCCGGCGCATTAACCCCGCGCGCGCTCGTGCAGGAATCTCGCGGAGAGCTCGAAAAAGAAATGGGAAGGAAGGGCGCCAGATGAGGGTTGACGCTGATGATTAACGCGTAACCTTTCTAGTCGCGCTTTTGCGTGGGCGTCGATAATTAATCGGCAAACACCTTCCTCTTCTCTTTCTCGCACCCCCCTTTAATTTTCAAATCCTCTCGCGCCCGGATTAATCGCCCGTTTATCACAGCCCTCGTGATATGCTTCTTTTTTCCAACTTTTGTTTCTGTGATCGTGCATGCGGGCAATATAATAATGCGCCTCTCTCTCTCTCTCTCTTTCTCTGTTCTTTTTGCTTCAGAGCTATTTTCTAAGGCGGTGTCAAGAGCGAGCTTGCACTGTACGGCGATGATGTATGGTATGCGCGAGTTTGTGTTTTTTTCCTCTCGAGCAGGGATGAGAACTCGAGTAAGAGAAAGAGAAAGAGCTTTGTCTGTGTTTCTATCGCTTGAGCAATGTAACGGGATGCGATTTATTATTGCGATTCATGATGTGAATTTCTTTTTCCTTTTTTCCTGGCTGAGGAGTGATCGTTTTTGAGAGATAACAGAAGGACTTTGGTATTCGCAAGTCGACGCCCTCAACAATAAAATTATATATATATATATATATAATGATTCGTTATGCCGCGCGATGAATGCAATTTAATGTTTCTGCAGGCGAAATTACGCTTGGAAATTTGATCGCGTGCGGTAGGCAATGACCCGAATGGAATATATGTAACTTCGTTGAAACAAAAACACGGTTTTTCTTGATAAATTATAAATAAAGTGAAAAGATGTACATTGATTTAGCTTTCGTCGATGAAAACCGTTCCTTGATATCATTAATATGATATAAATTTTATCAATCAAATAAGCGTAACAAAGAGAATTAAACACATCAATATATCATACAGCATCAACAAAAAATTTTAAATCATTTCAATATCGAAAATCAGCGTGTTATCTACCTTTTTTCTCGATGACTTCTGGCACATGTTCAACAGCGTATTCTTTGATGACCTGTTCCTCAAATGATCGTTCATTCGATTGTTTATTGTCCACGGATGACGGCACTTCATTACTGAAATGAAATGCAAAATTATTGTTAATGTGAATTATAGGATTTACACATTTCAGATTTTACGTTTAACCTATGTTTACGTATTAACCAACAACACTATTCGAAACTATATTTTCGACAGAAAAATTACACTATGATTCTAAAATATACGAAGCGAGTACTTTTATTTTATATCATTGTTTCAAGAAAAAGGGTTCTATAAATCTAATTTTTTAAATTTATAATCTGAATATTATATAATAATCAACGTATACACGTTGTAAATGGAGAAAATCGGTCGTGTTTTTCGCAAACGCTAACGTAATTAAACAGTAGGCAGTAAATTCACGGCAAAACCTTAAAATCCTATGTGTTTAAATTTAAACGTTTTAAGTGTGTAATTGTGACGTCACCCATAAAAAATACATTGTCGCTGAATTCAAGCGTTTAGAAGTGTTTAAAATTGAGGACAATGTATTTCTTATGGGTGACGTCATATTAAACGCTTAAATTTAAACACATGGGTTTATCGTGATTAATACGCGAAAATAAAATACTACTAATTAATTCTCACATATCTATTTTTTTTGTCATGATATTGTGAATATTTCATAGCAAAAATTCTATTTTACACTTGTTGTATCAAAGAAATCCATAATGATATAGATAAAATATCGATAAAATTTTTTCAAAATAAATATAAGCACAATATAAGCTAAAATAATAAATGTATCAAGCTTCGTTCCCGAATTTATCCACCGGGAAACTACGTTACAAAGTCTTGGTTAATCCATAAAATATCATCATAATGAATATTCATACTTGAACATTTTCTAATCATTAATTTTTTTCATTTACCATATGCATATTTTAAAATTTGTCCGAAATGTTGTTAGAGCGCTCTTAAGTACCTAAAACTATTTGTAAAAATATTTATTAATTAATGTTCAATAATTTCACTTTTTAAATGAGATTAAAGTATTGAAAGCGTAATTTATTATAAATTAGATCTGATTAATGTTAATATTGATTGCAATATGTCCTTGATATGTCCTAGATAGTAAGTCTGTGATAATTTATTACTACATAATTACTTCATAAAAATCAAATCGCCCCGAAGTGAATATATATAACGGCGCTTTTTTGTAATTCCGTGATTTGGTAGTTTAAAGTCTGAATAAATAGTAAAGAAAATTGCATTTTCAAAACATTCTGCCTCACATTTAAGCGTCAATTTCTTTTCACGTTTGCAAAATTGTATCAGTAAAATTAAAAAATATATCCAATATTTTTGGCTGATCAAAATATATGTTGTTTATAAATATATTGCACATTTTTATCCGGTAAGTTTCCTGTTGCTTCGTCAACTAATGATACATTGTTACTTTTAAACTTGACTATAGCAATTAGCTTAACAGTGTAAATTGGAAAATCATTTATATTCACATGAAAAATGTTTGTATCAGTATATCACATCAATTTTAAAACAAATTTTAGTTATTATTGCTACAATTATAAAGAGTATTTTGCTTTACAACATTGATAATTCTTACAATAATAGTTTTGGTATGCAAACAAACAATTTTTTTTACTAATTTATATGCATATGTCGATCAAAGTAAATTTTTCATTCCATAAAAAGATCATCCTTCTTGTAAGTAATTAAGGTATGTTAATTCTATATTTAGTACAATTTTAATTAAATACAAATCTCATCCACCTGTACCACTAGAAATATACAAGGCAATTTAATTAGAATTCGTATATTTTCAAAATCTAAATTCTGCTTTCTTATAAAAGCATATAATATTTACTAATTGATTAAATATTTTAATTTTTGAACTTTTTCATAATAAATTTTACTTATAATTTTAAATCGCGCGCTTTTTTTAAAAAAGCTACGTGCTTCTGGGATATTTGCTCCCACAAAACTTTTTCCACTCATGAAAATACAGATCACGAATCAATCTCGAGATATTAATCGCATTACATTTGACAACAGTCATCGCTCATTCTCATCTAAAAAAGTATTACATGAATGTAAAAAATGAAACATACACATCTTCGTATTCTAAAGAATTGTTCTCCTCCTCCTCGCCGATGGTAGCTAGATTGCTCTGCCAATAATAATCATCACCGTCGTCACTTTCATCACTCGGCTCATTATGTTCTTTAACAATCTGCTCCATCATCATTTGTTCAACTTTTTCCTCATCCACCATTTCATTGTCAACTATCAAATTTCGATTGATACTGTTCATCATTTCGACATCGACAGAATCGTCGTTCTCTCGTTCGGCTACCTCGTTTTCATCGTCCGAGGTCCTCGAGAATGAGTTCTGTATCTTCATGTCGACTAGTTCTAGTATCTTATTCGTTTGATGTTCATTCGCATTTTCATCTTTCGTATTAATTTCTATCTCGTTATCGTCTACGTTATCCGCCGAACTCTCCGTCAATACTTCTTCAACCTTCGCCTCTTCCTTAATTTCATTTTCACACTCACTGTCGTTAACGGTGTCCAAAATTCTCGCTTCAGGAATCGGCATAGGTTCTCGTCTAGGCGGTGGAGGTGGAGGTGGTGGCCTCTTCCGCTTAGCTCTCACGTCCTTCCTAGGCATAGGTTTCGGTGGCAACACCGGAGTTTTCGCATGCTCTTCCTCTTGAACGATTGGAATTCTGTTGACATGATTTTTGACAGGCAAAGGTGGTACTTCATGACCATTTACGACTTTCTCTACCACGTCGGCATCGTCTTTGATCGGGCGGAAATGAGTTCTCGAATCAGCTGCCAAATCGGCCGAATAGAAAATCCCTGGACGAGGCTCGTGCCCATAGCTCAGCGGCGCATCTTGAAAACTTAACGGTGGTTGCAGTGTCGGCGTCTCTTCGATCAACACAGTATTAGGCGCGACCACCGCGGTAACGCGCTCAACATCGCCGTGCGACTCCACGTAAGTACGAGCTTCCGAATTAGCCAGCCTGGAAAGTAAAAAGTCCACTCCGTTGGTCGTTAATTCCGGTGAGTTGCGGAAAAATTGTTCCGATGTGGTAGACATGGTCGACGTCGTGGAGAAACGATCGAGACGATCGATGACTGTGGATAACGAACTGCTCGTGTCGTCTGATGCACTGCCGTGGGTACTCGAACCGTCCTGCGAGCGAGCGTCTAGGTATAACTGTGCTTCGGCTGGCGACAGTTCCTGTGCAAGCAAAAGAGAGAGCATCGTGATTAGTGTAATTGTCGTCATACGGTGTGCAATTAGTGACGTGATGGAAAGGATGCTGCAATCGAGAGTTCGAGATTGCTTGGTGATGAGAAGATGTTGCTGCTGTGGCTCGATGTAATTGGGACAGTTTCACGAACGAGTTATGCAAGTTCGGCTCGATTGGAAACATTTTTTCTCGATAGGCTTTTTTTCTTTTCAATTCGGGAATCAATGTTTTCAGGAAAGGAAGTCGGTGCGTTCTACATAATTTTGTTGCTTTGTACAAACGGTAACGGAAGTTAACGTTACGAATCTGAGCGGTGCAACTTTATTTCTCATCACAGCGATCTCCAAAAAACGTGCGGATCCCGATAAATACCTGTTTGGATTTATTCAGTACAGGCGACATGTGAACTTTCGGCGATCCTTTGGGACTGTCACTTTTGGAAAGAGCGATAATTTTGGCTGGCGATGAGTTGCAACTATCGTAATTGCTGGATCTTACGCTGCTCGCAGCACTGCGGAAACTTGCTACTGAACGAGGCGATCCAGTTTGCGAAGAACCGGTTGATTTTGGGCTGTCCCATGATTGTTTGGAACCTGCAAAATAACGTGATATTAGTCGGTTGTCGTAATCACGTTCATGCTCGTTTTTATAAGTTTGCTACTGTTACTTCGCAAACCGCAATAATAATGCAATGCAGATATTTTAACTACCTTCTTAATTTATTCCACAATGCTACTCAACTTAATCGAATTCGAAGGTAGTATCGATCAAATGTTGAATTTACGATAAATATATGTCGTCGATTCCATCCATTACAACTTTTTTATTCATAGAGAGTATGTTTTGCCATTTCTTCTGATGATACTCAAATAAAAAGATAAAAAAATGTCACGCAACGATGATTTTATATTGATTTGAACGAAATGATCCGCAGAATACTATTTGAAAGTGTTGGAAAAAAAAACCACAACTCGATCAGGGGATACATTGTTTCGCATATTTATAGCGGAAACAAGAGATTAAAGATAATTACAGCCACTTGTTACATTAGCATACTTTTGTAAGACATATGAAAGTGCGAGCATTAATGCCGTGAGAAATGTAACAGCTCCATAGACAAAAGACGATGTTATAAAGTGTGCCCTCGGGACTGGAAAATATCTTTCTCGTTTCTCAATATTCACTTTCATTAATATCACAGCGATACGATTATACTAATCAAGCGTTATTTTCACCTCGAAACTTTCTCACAAGAGTTTGATTGAGAATTCAATTTTACCTTCTTTTCAATGCTTAGCGTGCTAAAATAATAAGTAGGGTTCGCTGGTTTCTATCTATCTTATCTATATAACTTTCTGAACGATTGTAAAGATTGAAAAATAAAAAGCCAATGAGAATTTAATTCCGCAGGCATGTAATTATTGTTAGCTTTCATAATAATTCAATTAGCATCTACCGAGAAAATTCACTTTTAGTTCGGAGGAGAGCCATTCATTTTATGCACTTTCTACTTCGCATTATATATGCACGGAATAACTTTCAATTTTGTGAGAACACAATTTATAAAATAGCACTTTCGGTCAAAAGTGCATTTTGCGCAAAAATATACCTGGACTAGCTTCCCCGTCGGCTGAGCCTCGATTAGTTTGCGACTGCGAGTGTCTCAATTTCCTCGGTGGCACTGGTGGTGGAGCTGACGGTAGCTCGGGTGGTACTTTACTTCCTTCTTTACGTTCAGCACTGACGACTTCGGGTCTTAAAGCGCCTCGACAACGAACCATCAGTTTGATTACTAACTGCGACTCTTTCAATCGGCGAACGCAGTCCAGTCGCGTCATCTGCGTCACCGACACTCCATCGATCAGCAACACCTACAAGGTGCATTGAAAGATTAGAAACGCAATACGAATTTCAAAGATTATCATTTTAGAGATTTCATATTCGTACGTAAGGTGGACTAACGTTAAGAATAACTTGTAGTGTGAGCTGAACGGAGAACGAATATATTATGCCTAACATTAACGTGGAAAATAACAAATAATTTCACAAAATGTCATACGGCTTGAAATTCAACGAACAAAATACAATGTGCAGATACACCAACGTAAATTTTATCTGCATGAGATTGAAGGAATCTTATCGAGCTATTTCACTTCTGCTCCAATTACTCTGATAATGTCGATCCATGTAGTGCTAAATTTGACGCAATTGTGCATTTATGGCGATTTTGAAGCGAACCAAAGGATACATTATCGTCCTATAGCCGATTATCTGACGCAGACTGCAACTAAATTAAATGCCCTACTCGCGTAATCTGTGTCATTAGGCGCAATAAATCTTCACGAGCTTACTGCGCGTACATCGAAAGTGTATGATGCGATCTGTTGTGCTTTATATTAACGCCTGCGCACAACACGCAAATTGCAGGCTTATACTTTAGATTTCAAGTGTGCCACTTCAATTTTTTATCACGTTAAATTCGTATCTGCTCATTTAAAAAAGTGAAGGACTGATTAAACGCTTCGAAAACGATTTTACTTTTGGTTTTTTTAGGTGAATTATACACGCATAGCTTGCATTTCAAAATATTGGAAATAATAATGTTTATCGTTGTACTCGCGTATTTCGAATTTTTATTCACACTTCAGATAGTTTCGCTATAATTGTACTATCAAGTAATTCCTTCGCGCTAACGACGTTGGTTTTCAAATAACTGCTTGTATGTACTTCATCTAACTGAAAACTGAACTGAAAAACTGAAAAAATACGTACGTGACATAAAAATGAATAAACAACAAAATAGATTTCAGCCTACAAAAGACAATGATAACTTAATGTGTATTATGGTATTTTTTAATATACAGTATGTCATTTCATATTGTGTTACCTACTTTATTATTTATTCTCCATCACAAATCATGCAAAAACCTACCAATTCCATTGATAAACATCTAAATTAAATGAGTGACAGTGTCATTAGGAAAAATAAAAAAATTACCTCGTCACCTTCTCCAAGATGTCCCCACGAGCAAGTAGCTCTGCTGGCAGGACTCTGTTCAGCACAGCTCTGGATGAACAATCGTCTCACCCTCTCAGAAGTTTTATTTCCACCTTCAAATTTCAATCCAAAGCCAAGTCTTTCACCGGGTAGTCTGTAAACCTCGACTTCTTCCTCAGGATGTGCCGGATCGATTCCATTGGCTAACTGTTGTTGCTGGCCAATCGACAATACCGTGATGAAACTTTCCGAGGGTGAGGGTGCTGCTGCTGCTACTGACGCCGAGGGCGGTGGTTGTTTAGCTCCACCCTGTACCGATACCACTGTCACGAATTCCGTGCCGTCCTGCGTGTCCATTGTTTCACCAAGCGCGAGGAGTGCTTTTCTTTTTTTTTCAATGAGGCATTTTGGCGTCGGCTTCTGCTCGCGGTCGGAATCTGCGAAATCGGAAAAATTACTATTATTTTTTAAACGAATGTCACGTGGATATTTAGGGTGAATTGAGTGGGTGCATTGATGTTTCATAGTGAAATAAGAATACTCGTATTGTTATGGTTCGGGTGAGATTAACCCATTAAGACCCATGCCAAATTGGATGAGATAGCACCAAACCAACTGTGCCATTCATAGGCAAATCGAACAAAAAAATATCAGTGTTTTTTTTTGCCACTTGAAATTGTTTATAAAAATTTATTTAAACAAATTACCTATAAAGTGATTGTTTTTCAAATTTGATTGCAGCAACCAATGGGAGAAAATATGGAAAAAATGTTACAAATTGAAGTCAGACAAAAAATGTTGTACATATTTTTTTCATATTTCATAGAATCTATTGTCGCAATCAGATTTGAAAAACAATAACATTTTAGGTAATTTGTTTAAATAACTTTTAATAAACAATTACAAATGGTTTTTTTTCGATTTACCTATGAATGACACGGTCAGTTAGGTACCGTCATTCAATTTTGGCTTAGGTCTTAATGGGTTAACAAACGAACGATGCAATATTCCATTGCGAAAAGTTTCCAGCGCAAACAATGACAATAAATATGTTGAAATGCCTGAAACGCTTATTACGTAAACTTACAGAACCTGTAGATATTAAAGATAATTAAATTTCATAATTATAAATTATGTCAGTTTCGAGTAGTTAAGCGCTAGAATAAAATATATATTTGCCTGACGCTCACACATTTTTCACTTGGCCTTATCCATCGTAAAACATACTCGTCGAAAACTTAGCGTTAATTCTACATAATTTGGCGTAAGATTTTGTAAGAGCTTCAGCTCAACTGTAGCCCATCCCCTCACTTATCGTGCATACGAAAGGAGGCAATTTATCTATGTACGTGCACTTTTCTTAATGAATAAGATTACTGTTCAAGGGTGAATACTCATTATTATGTATTTCAATGACGAGATAATACCATTAGCTTATTAGTATTATCAATTTAATTTTAATCTTAATCATCTCCGCCTGGCTAACCCCAGATACACACGCCTTTCAAAAAAGATAAAACTTTTTTAAAACTCAGGTGGCCATAGAGACTACGTTCAAAACAATTTTTTTGCTAGCAACCAGTATACAGTGAATGAAAACGTCACAAATGCTTCATAAACGGTAAGGTTTCCTTTATAATTTCTCGAAAAAAAAACTTAATAATTCTTGTGTAGCGTAGATATTATTTATTTAGTAAAAGACTCAATTGTAAACCGCAAATTTCTGAGAGTATTACAGAACGAGACTGTTAATTTTTACCATTCTCGCGATATTTTACTGCTCCCTCTTACGGTGATCTCAATTTAATGCTGTAGATCGATTGAATTGAAACTCTCTGCGACTCTAGCACCAGGTAAAATACCTAGCTCTATTTCATAATTCATTGCAAAAATACATCTCAATTGCGGGATTCTAGCAAATGGTTGTAAGTTCATAAAGTATTCTGTCACCTATTGTCGATAAAATTGCTCGTAATCAAGTGCAATCATTGAAAATATAACAAAAAAGAAATGGGGAGGAAAAAAACATACCAATATATTCAGTGCAAGATACGTTTCGATGAAAATACAATCATGGATAAAAATGAAGTATTTGAAAATGATTATTTTATCATCAACAAAAAACTTCTGATGATCATATGCATTTGGCCTTATCAAAATAAATCACTGAAATTATGGATACGGTCGCTTATTATTGTAGCTATTCATACAATGATGATACCACAGGTAGATTGCTATAAATATTATTTATTGTCGACATTGAATGATTACTTTTGAAAAATGGGATACATTCGGTGTCATAGAATTAGTAAACTTGGAAGCTATAAGATCCGCGTGTATTGATTTTTTTTCTATCCGTATTTTCCAATCCTAATCCGTGGTATATACATTAAGCGCCATAGGGGAAGAATAACATTTTTCCCATACGATAGTGTACACGTCGAATTGTGCGAACGCTCGCGTTGAAACTCGAGTCATTGGTTATCTTCGTCATTCGTACTATAATTTCTTGAATAGTTATGATATTTTCTTTAGTTGGTAAAAACTTATATAGAAATTCAGGCGGAAGACTCAAATACTGAGATTATTGTAGAAAACATTGCAGGCTTTTTCTACTTTCAAGGAGTACTTTTAAAGTTATACCTGAGTATATATGCCGAGAAAAAGGTACTACTATAATGTGTGTCGTAATTCATAATTATAATAACAAAATTAAATTAATTTTATTAGTATAATTATGAGCCATTCAATGTTTTCATCTCGTTGATAGTTTTTCGTGCACTTAATTTTTTCAACATCACATTATTAATTATTAAGCTAAACCCTCATAAAATGATAAGATATCTTAAACAATTACTAGCTACAACATCTTTACGAAATTATCACCTATGATTATAAAGAGATTCAAGATCCCGACGAAAGAGCAGCATTGATTGAACGTTGGAGTTTCACTCGGCTCTTATGTATTGGTTATGCAAGTAAGCTTGATATTGAAACTTATTAACTTCGATACTAATTTCAAAACTTCAAATTACTAGTGTTTAATTGAGAACTATTAAATATATAAATATTAAGTCTAAAATATACTAGAATTTCAATTAGATATTATTATACAATATTATTATAATATTTCAGCGTACATGTTCATATCCTGTTTCTTCTTCGTCTTTACGCCAGTGGTAATACCAGCGATTTTAGACGCTATTCTTCCACTGAACGAATCTCGGACAAAGATGATATGTATTTATGCTGAATATTTTATTGATCAGCAAAAATATCTTTACTACATAGTTACTCATACATTCATAGTCGTTTCTTTAACCCTCACCATAATATCTGCTGTGGATACTACATTCGTTGTTGTTGCATACCACGTTCTTGGTCTTTTCAATTTACTAATGTAATACTTTTCTATATACACTGTTTCTCACGTCGCTTTTCACTTATGTCACGGTTTTAGGCGTCGCTTGAAAATATTACGTAAACACGTAAACGATGGCAACTATCGTGAAGATGAACTTCATAATTTCGTGGTCGACACAATCAAAATACACAAGAGAACGATTGAGTTTAGTATTTTTATAAGCACTTGCAGCATAATCACAATAGCTATATAACAATATTACATTTTTTGGTTTCAGTGTTGCCGATCTTGTTAGGATTACTTATGAATGTTTCTTCTTCATTATTGCCATGATACTAATTGTATTGAGTGTAGGAACTATAGATGTAAATAAATGTTTATTATTTCATAATTATTTTATTCAATCGTGCGATTGAGAGATAATCTTCATTTTATTGTAGATACTTATGAATCTTCAAAATCCACCAGTTTTACTACGCATTGGATTTGTTTTTATTGGATTGATTGGTTATTTGTTTTTCACTAGTTGGCCTGGTCAGAGATTTATTGATAGTAGCACAGAGCTACAAGAATCACTGTAAGTTTTATTATAATCGATGTCATCAGTACCATATCTAACATATAAACGTCACATTTCATTTATTTTAAATGTATTTTATACGTGCAAAAAGCTATTGTTGTAATTGGTATAAGTTACCTTTGCAAACTCAATTTCTCATAAGATTTATGATGATGCGATGTTTCATACCGTGTCGGTTAACTGCTGGTCCACTACTTCAATTGAACTTTGCAACCTGCAGTGGTGTAAGTTATTATAAAAATCACTTATTCACTGAAAATCTCTATGGATAAGTATCTTTTTCAGGTTTTAAAAACAGCTATGTCATATTTTACATCGATGGCTTCATTGAATTAGTTTGTTTTAAAAGCCAGCTATCTTAAAAGCCATATTAGTGAAACATATCCTCAACTGAATATTAAATGACAATATTGAATACATGCATTATTACACTTGTAAGATACTGGTACCCAGTACCATTGTTTATGTAAAAATGGAATAAAAATATTTAAATGAGGAGTAAAAGAATCCAGATATCATTAAAATCAGTGCCTTAATATTCAATACAATATAATATTAACTACAATAACTATACAAGGACATAAGGGATACTAGGTAGTTTTTACTTGAAAGGATTAATAAGAATGCCTCGGGCAGCAATAAAAGTGTCATAAGATACTAAACATCTACCTCTCACGCATTCCAGAATTCATAACCAAAGAAAAATCTTCAGTCACCATATGGATAAATTGACGAGAAATTTAATTAGTACATGCTTATCGTAAGCTCCTCAAGTATTCTCAATCGTAGACCAGCAAATTCATCTTTTGCTGCGATTTCTTTACCAATTGTTAATGAGACTTTGCGAAGAAGTAAGACATAAATACAAAAAAAACTTTTTTAATTTATAGCTGTTAAATACGGTATAAAGAATTTCGTAAATAAATTTACATTATCACATCCAGTAGTTTATAGTCAGTGTCGTGCACTTGTAATTTTGCACTAATGCACTCTTACTTCTCAGACCATTCTGTCACTAAGTTTATCATAAAGTACACTATGTGCACTTAGTATGCAGTCATCTAGTGTAGAACAGCATTAATCTTATGACATCTGCAATTGTTGATCTCAGAATTATTAACAGACGTTTCTCAATTTAACGTGCGCTTCCATCTTAAAAAATGTTTCGAGGTTTATACGTTACTAATGAATTTAATAAACTGTATCGTCAGGTAGAGGTGATCATATTGAATTTGTACTGCCAATTCTGTTGGCAGCCTTTTTGCATGGATTGTACATGACTGCTCACTTCGAAAATAAAGTATAATAAGTTTGATTTTAGCTCGGGTACGATATTGAGCAAGGATCACTGCTTTTATTTATGATTTTTTAAACAAATTAGTTATATAAAAGTGTATGAAATTCTTCCTGTGCTGAAAATTTACAGTATGGAAAAATGACTGTCCAATCCATTGTAATACATAAAAAGTAAAATACAATACATTTTGTATAAT